TTTATAATTATATATAATATATTAATATTTTGATATATATCCAAATATATAATACTAATGGTTTATACTTATGAGTTATCTGTCAAAATACATTAATAGATTAGCAGTAATTACTTCATTTGTTGGTTGGTATTGAGTATTGAATGAGAAGATTGTGAGTACTGCAAAAGCGTCAAAGCGGAGGTCGTTGGTCAAACCTTATCCAGTAATCAAATCTTAGTTTATATGCGTCGTCATCTTTCAAGAATTTTTGTTGGCTTCCAGTTCCGGACTGGAGAGGGACGTGAGAAGGCGGTCACATTCTACTCTTCTCTCTTGTTGCAAGTGAAACACGAAAAAAAAAAAAAAAGGAGATAAAAGCAGAAGTAGCCGAAGGAGGAGAAGAGTAACTCAAGCCAGCTTTGGTCAGTCCATCTCTCAGAACTCACATACCATTCTCTCTTTCTTTCTTTCTTTCCATTGCTTTTGTCAAATTTCTGTGTTATGTCCTTTTCACAACTTATCGTTTCAATAATTCCTTCTCATGCTTCCATGTCATCATGGCCACAATACCATCATCGTCTTTGTGTTTGTGTTTTTTTTTTTGTTTTTGGGGGGGGGGGGGGCTGGGTTGATGATTAAAAAAAAAAAAAACTAAAAAAATCTTCCTGTTGTCAATCTCGGATGAATAAACATACAATTCTGCGGTCAACAGGAGTCTAAATTTTGATATATAAAATGAAAAGTGATAAAGAAGGGCGAAGGGGGGCAAAGATTTTACAAAAAAAATTAAACAGAATTCATAAAAATGGGACGCCTCCTGTACAGATCCATCATTAGTGCAAGTTTCCAAGAGCCCCTCAGTTGTTCTTCTGCAACTGGCAACATTAAAGAAGAAGAAAAAAATTTAATCAAGATGGTTGAAGGGGGAGTCTCAAAAGCCGGCAGAACTGAATTCACGGAGTGCTGGCGCACAACATGGAAGACACCCTACATCATGAGATTGGCCTTATCCGCTGGAATTGGAGGTCTCCTCTTTGGTTATGACACAGGTAATCCAGAAGACACCCCACCCCCTCGTGCTTCATTCACTTCCGACCTTGACAAGATTTTCCCTTTACACGCAAGATTGCATTTTTATTCCCCTCTTGCATCCCTAATTTGCTGTAGGAGTTATTTCCGGTGCCCTCCTTTACATTAGAGACGACTTCAAAGCTGTTGACAGGAAGACATGGCTCCAGGTACCACAAGTTCCTTCCACTTTCCATCATCCTCTCTCAAGAATAAGAATTTCTTCTTGTTTAATTACTGCTTCTCTAGGTAAACTGTTCTTGTTTAAAAATTTTCAGGAGACAATTGTCAGCATGGCTGTTGCAGGAGCTATTCTTGGTGCTGCATTTGGCGGATGGATCAGTGACAAATTCGGTCGCAAAATCTCCATTTTGGCGGCTGATATTCTCTTCTTTGTTGGAGCTATTGTTATGGCCGTTTCTCATTCTCCCTGGATGATCATTGTTGGGAGAATATTTGTTGGCTTAGGGGTTGGGATGGCATCCATGACTGCGCCTCTTTACATTTCAGAAGCTTCACCCCACAGAATCAGAGGCGCTCTTGTTAGCACAAATGGTTTCTTAATTACCGGAGGCCAGTTTCTTTCCTATCTTATCAATTTAGCTTTCACCCACGTAAGAATTGGACATCATCTTGCTCCGTTATTGTCCAATGCATAAAGAAAGAAGATTTCTGAGAGTCCATTTAATTTTTTGTGCAGACCAAAGGAACTTGGCGGTGGATGCTCGGAGTAGCAGGAGTTCCAGCACTAGTCCAGTTTATTCTAATGCTGTCGCTCCCCGAGTCTCCGAGATGGCTTTACAGAAAGGTTCCGCCACAACCGTTCTTTACTCAGATTACATTTTTATCGCCTTAGTCTGCTTTTGCTTTTTGTAATTTGCGACTCCCCTTTGCCAAGCAGGGTAAAGTTGACGAGGCCAAATCCATATTACAGAGGATTTATCCTACTGAGGAAGTTGAGGAGGAAATGCAGGCCCTGAAATCATCAGTTGATGAGGAAATGGCCCTACAAGGTTTTGTAGGAGAAGGCAGCTTGCTTTCAAAAGTAAGGCAAGCCTTGAGTTATCCTGTTTTCCGGAGGGGACTATATGCTGGGATTACAGTTCAGGTGGCTCAGCAGTTTGTTGGCATCAATACTGTCATGTATTATAGTCCAAGCATAATCCAGTTCGCTGGTTTTGCTTCAAACCGGACTGCTTTGGCACTGTCCCTCATCACTTCTGGTCTCAACGCAATTGGGTCCATCATTAGTATGTGTTTTGTTGATAGATATGGAAGGAGGAGGCTTATGATCATTTCCTTAATAGGCATCATAACTTGCCTAGTGGTTCTATCGATCGTGTTCTTCCAGGCTTCTGCCAGTGCTCCACCTATCGGTAAGGCTGAGTCTGCCCATTTTGGTGGCAATTCCACATGTTTTGGCTATATCCAGGCCCCAGATGCATCTTCTTGGAATTGCATGCAGTGCCTGCAGAAGGCATCTCATTGTGCATTCTGCTCAAATGGAGCAAATCGAGTAAGTTTTTGTTTATCTGGCTTTTGTCCTTGTGGTTCTTCCATAGCAATTAGCTAGGGATATTTCTTTGTGCTAAATATGGTGTGAAGATGTGAGCAAGTTTCCCAAATTTTATGGGTCCCTTGATTCGATGGTTTTGCATTGCATCGCTGAAAATTTATGCATACGATATATTATAGTAGGAGTATTTGTTAATGCAAAACTTTCTCTATGTCATTGTTTTCAATCAGTTCTCTCCTGGAGCATGCCTGGCCTCAAATGATGAATTGAAAACTGCATGCCGGGCTGAGAGCCGAACGTGGTATACAAAAGGTTGCCCCAGCAAAGTCGGATTTCTAGCCGTCGTTTTACTGGGATTGTATATTATAATGTACTCACCAGGAATGGGAACCGTTCCATGGATTGTTAACTCAGAAATTTACCCCTTGAGATACAGAGGCATTGGTGGAGGAATTGCTGCAGTTGCAAACTGGACTTCAAATCTTATAGTGAGCGAGACTTTCTTAACCTTAACTGAGGCTCTTGGCTCAGCTGGCACATTTCTTCTTTTTGCGGGGTTTTCCTTCATTGGTCTGGTGTTCATCTTCTTCCTTGTGCCCGAAACAAAAGGACTACAATTTGAGGAGGTGGAGAAGATGCTAGAGAATGGATTTACACCCTGTAGTTGTTCCAAGAACGGAGGTGGTTCCAAGGATGAGGGTTCTGCTTAATGCTTGAATCAGCTATCTTAGATCAGAAAATATATTCATCTCAAAAGTGTTCATAATGATAGCAACATGTAATCCTCGAGATGTTACTGGAATTAGCTTTCATTTTGATTCTGCGTGGACTTTGTAAGAATGTTTTAAAAATCGGACCGTTAATTAAACCGGTGAAGTGAAAGGGTCGAGATTCAATCGATCGGACCGATTTAACTCCGATTCAATGAATTTTTTTAAAAATAATTTATATAAATATACATGCATAAAATAAGACATATAATGGATAATTTAATACTTTATATGATGAAAAGTTTATTATTTTTGAATAACCTGGATTTTTAAAAATAATTTTTTTAAATTATAAGTTAAAACAAATAAATTTAATCTCAATTTCAATTATATCTACCCAAAAAATCTTAAATTCAATCCAAAACTATCACAATATTTTAAAATTATACAAAATTCACGTCTATGAGAATTTAGACATTTTGAACTTAAATTTTAATTTACGTTTTGGAATATAGAGATTGCAATATAAAAAAGGAAGTTTGGAATTCGAAAAAAATCAAGAGAATCAAAAATAGAAATACAAATTGGATTCGAAACAAGAAATGAGATAAAAGTGAGTGGTTGTGGAATTAAATAATTTGGGTTAAAGAAAAATAATTCTTTTTTAACTTTTTTTTAATTTAATGAACAAAAACAAAATTAAAAGATGAAATAAAACATTAATAAATTTAAAATAAAGAGATTTGATTAAAAAAGGAATGACAAAAGAAAAGATGATACAAAGAGAGAGAGTTGAAGGTTAAAAATAAAGAGCAATGAGAGGATGAGATTTTGTAAAAAAAAATGGAACAAAAAAAATAAAAAAAAAGGAAAACTTGAAAATCGAAAACCACCGGTTCAAATCCGGTTCGACGGTTTCACGATTCAACCGATTTTTGACCGGTTCTCTGACAAAATCAACCATAGCATTGAACCTGACCAGTATCATGGTCAGTTTGCGGTTCAATCGGTCGAACCACCGGTCCGATCCGATTTTCAAAACACTGATGTGGCGGCATCGCTTCATTACCAACTTACTACCCTCATAGTCAATTAGCAAAGACAAGTACATCGCCTGCTGCTGCTGCTTCTATTGATAACTTGTTTCTTCCTCATCATCCTTGCTTGAAAGTGTTTTTTGATCGAATACATCTGCACAGAACGGTTTGATTGCACCACATTGGGTCCAAAAAACAGATGCCACCAGGGATGGTCGCTGCACTATGAATATAAATACCCCCTTTGATTCATTTTGATTGTAAGTTAACTTTTTGGAAGAGTAATTCTAACTGCTATTGTTTTAAAATATCTTTACATCAATATTAGAGGTATGACTAAATATTATATTTTACATTAACTATAACAATAATATTAATAAAAATTACATTATTCAACGCATTAATCAAAGTAATTATTGAATAAGGTAGGTTACGCTCACTGATAACAAAGTATATTAAATTAGAGTAGTTTAGAGAAATTACAAATTAACTATTATTTTCAATTGGAAAGTGAATCATAATTTGGAATGGATGAAAAGGAAATACAAAACAAGACGATCAAAGCGGAGCGAAGGCAGTGTGTATACTTGCAACTACTAACTACAATGAAGTTTCCGGACTGCTAATTATGACACAAAGGCCATCTTCTTCCTTGGTTCTTAAGCTGATGGTAGACAAAGCCGCACCTTAAAATTTACTCATTCTCGTCGAATTTGATGAATCAAAACACGACCCCACGCTCTCGCATCAACCATATTAAGCGCACAAAAACTATTGCACCCGGTTAGTATGGTTTTCCGTCTTGAAGGGTTGAATGAGAGAGAGGCAACTACAAGCCAGTCTTGAGCGCAATTGTTTGTTTGCTAAGTTGGAAGTGCGATTTGCATGGGACAATGGGAATAGGGGAACAAGAATCGATGATCGACCATCTAATGTCCAGAACAACCATGACAGGTATCACTACTGTGTTCCCAGAGTTCATATTTGTAGTTCACAAAAAAGGTCTCTTAGCCAACCTGTTTCCATAAACCGTCGGAAAATTCAGAGAATAACTTCAGCTCCTGAAAATTCACATGTGCTATGCTGGTTGAATGCAGCAAGAATAAAGGGTATTCCAAAAATTCCTATTCAGACTTCGTCTTGAGATGGTACGCATCACCAAAAATGATAATATGAGAGGCTAACGTTTTCAACTAATGACTAGCACTGCAATTTAGTTGTCGACGTGATTGCAAGCAAGCTCGCGAGGACATCTTGACCTTCTTACGAAGATACCACAAATGGAATGGATTTGGAAGAGAAAAAATGCGCAGTTTCTCGTACTAAAGTTGCTGCTTCCTTGATACGCGCCATCATAGTGGATAGCTCCATTCATACTGCAGCAGGATAACTCTTAGCTTGTGCACCTTGTATCCCCGCTTCAACAAAATGCCGGGCATCAGTGCATCCAATGCTCCACCTTCTTAATATTGCTTTACAGACAATCTCTCTGATAACAAGCAAGGATAAGCAAACATATCAAACGTCAGAGTATGAAACCATCTTATGCAGTTTTTTGAATCTAAAATTACACTTCAGAGAGAAATGTCAATAATGAGAATTGATATGCAGAAAGTGATGCCTTTACAGTCCTGTCAAATTTAAGACGTTTAACAGTTGGTCCGTATGAAAACAACCAAGGGTGATGAAATGTATGATTATCAAAGTACAATGGCACCTTATGCGCTTCTGAAGTCTAAATTAACAATTAAGAACTGAATCTCAATATTGGAGAACAGAGAAGCAGGGAGGAGGGACGATTGCCAGTTCTGTTGGAATACTGAGCTGTCCTCGACAGCCCAAGGCATACAAAGCAGTCACTTCATTTCTTGCTAACTTACAAGTAGGAAAGGACAATCACTGCAGAAAGATATGGTGGTTAAGGCATCAGAGCCAAAAAATAACAGTCCAGTGAGAATGGAAAGTAGCATATGGATCATCAGATCAGTATCCACCAATTTGATATCTTAAAATTTCAGTAACACTTTATGTTCTTTCAAAACTAAAGAGTAGGGAGAGAGCATACTTATGAGTTCATATGTCACGATCATTGTTGTACCATAGAAAGACATATTTAAGAACCTAGGTGCAAACCCTCTATAAAATCCTCTCCAGCCATCTTCTTTAAGAAGTGCCCTAGTGGTCTTCATTACTGATGGTCTTCCGACACCATAATCATCAATTACCTTCAAATAAAACCCACAAAATTAAGTATAGCAATGACAATAAACATGCATTCTGATCCTGTAGTCAGAGAATTTAACAATGCACTGAGATTTGGTACCTGAAGCCTTGTCTTTACAGTATCTAAAGGGGTAGTAACAATTGAAGAACATGCACCGGCTACCATTCCTGCTGTAGCCTGGACAGTAACCATCTGTAAATGAGATGGTTTCTGTTGCATATCATCCCTATAACCCAGGCTCCTGAAGTCATAAAGTAAACCCAAAGAAACGTTTCAGCATGAACGACTTCTAGATATAATAAGAGAGTGTAGCAATTATACCACCAAGACATACGTCCAGATCATGTGCTGAGCTGCCCCATATGCTCCCCACCAAAGTGCTGATGCAGGGGTTTGAGACAGAGCTGTTAATCCAAAGCCTCTATACAAACCACGAATTCCTTCAACCTTAGTAACTTTACGAACAACATCATATGGACCATTGCAAGAAGTAGTCCCTGGAAGCCCTTGAACCATTAGTCGCTGGCAGATCTGAAATGTAAACCCCAAAATTGGGGAGGAACAACATGCAGTATTTAACAGAGTGAACAAGAAAAATTCAGAGAATCTTTTCTCGCACTCGGGTTCTACTGTTCACAAAGAACGTTCTAATCAATTAACTTTCTAGGTAATAGTACAAAAACTTTCAGAACTCAAGCACCAAGACATGTTTCACTGGGTTGGTGTAAATCAAAATTTCAAGTTCAATACTTTCTTACTTGCTTTAGGTCCTCTTTCAGTCTTCCAGTATTCTTCTCCCTCTTTTGTTTTAGGGGTGCGGGGTAGGGACGATTAGCATTAATCAGAAACACAACAAAATTCAGTTTCTGGCTGTAACTCTTCCACTCAACAAAGATTCTTCAATCTTTGATGATTTTAACAATACTTATTATGGTCTTACAACAATTGACACAAGCCAGAAGACAATAAAATCAGAAATCAAATTAAAAGAAATCTTTGAATGCAGTCTTAAGAGGTAGTGTACCTACCACCTCTAAAGGGACGAAGTATACACATGAAACTATATTTGAAAACATTCCAGCAACCGCGTTTGCGATGCCAACACGAGTAGCTTCTGGCACATCTAGACCTTCAGTGCATTTAAACATCATATCTTTTGATACTTCAAGTGAAGTGAGAGCCAGGACTCTGCCTGGCAACGATCCAATTGCAGATGTACCAAAACCTCTAAATATGCCAGGTAGACCATCACTCTTGATTATGTGTTTGAACACAGACATTCCGTTCACACGGGAGAGACCAGAAGCAGCTACTTGCATCCTTGTCTTGACAACTGCAGTTGGGTGTATTAATGCTGACTGAGCAGTAAAGAGGATGGCCCCAATAACGTGAAACCTTGTCTTATCCAACCTAAACTCAAGGCACAGCAAGCATCAGGGATAGCTCAAGATTTCTAGAATGTAATTTACGAGCGGATAAACACATTTTGTAAAGCACTAAACAGATAATCGGAATAGGAGAATGCAGGAGATACTTAATCCTGAAGAATGAAGAAAAATGAAATGCACGTTGTGGTAAATAGAGACTAAGAAGCAAGTCCTTGATACACGTAGTTTGTCAGGATCGCATTTTGTAAAGGGCTAAAGTACAATTCGAAATGCAGTGAGACAATTTGGATAAGAGCATAACTTTGGTTTTCGCTCATAAAATAAACTTTCATTCGAACCATCATCTGCAATCCAGGAATGAATGATACAGACAAAAGCGTACAAAAAAGGTGATGATCAACAGTCTAGGGAAGCAAGGAGTACAAATAACGGGATCGGTGTCGTATCATAAAAAGCAAGACTGTTTACGAGTTGAATGATATGGCAATCTCGAAACTTGTATGGAAAAGAATTTTTTTTTTTTTCAATTGCACCACATTGTACGTATGTGATGACCCTAAACTCTAAGAAGGCAGCCAGGCTTGGCCCTGGAACATTTTTTTTTTCTTTTTGGTTGGGGGGCATGAAATCAGCATCAGAATAGTAAGTAGTAATTAACAAGCAGCGTCATTCGTGATGATCACCATTACTTGCAATTCATCATCATCATCTTCTTCTTCTTCAAAAGTGGCAAAAGAGTTGATGTTTGCAAAACTCATGCCATCTCATTTATTTGACATTGCAAGATCCAAAATTTTCAAACATAATTATACCCCACTAGTGAAAAAAAATGGAAAAGGAAGTTTTTCTTTTCCCTTCTTAAACAAAACATAGTGAATCGAATAATTGAACAGCAAAAATATCAAGTGGCTTTTTTTTTTTTTTTGTGCATTAATAAGTAAATAGAGCGAGTTAAAGCCTGAGGAGGGAAAAAATAAAAAGACAGAGTTGAGAGAGAAGAAGGAATAAGCGAGTACCTGTCCCAGTGAATGTTAGTGTCGGCCAGAGCCAGCTCTGAGGGGCGACTCCCTACTGCTTCTGTTTCTACCGCCATTTGTTTCTCCCCCGTATTTGTATTGTATACTAATAGCAAAATAATACTTATTAGTAAGAGGTTTGGCCAAAACAAATCATACGACTATAGGAAGGATTACTACTGCTCCTTTCTACTCCCACCGGTGCCTCCAGCCAATTGGAGTTGATTATCAGAAGAAGAAGAAGAGAGGCAGAAAAGACGGCAACACTTTAAGAAAATTATTGTTGCAATACGCTGCTGGTGCAAAGCTTGGGACCGAAGGAGGGAAATTTTACAACAATATAATAATAATAAGAAAGCTTCGGAAGGTTCCGGGGGTCCCGGAATTCCGGAAACTGGGCTACGCTTATGTTGTTTTTAATTTTTTTTTAGGGATAATTGCAGAAAACTCCCTTGACATTTCTGACACCGGCACTCACCTCCCCTATCTATGGTTTTAAGACAGCAATGACCTCTCCTGGGAGGAAATTGTGGCCCATTGCAGACAAAAGATTGTGAAAATAAACCTTTATACCTTGATGAACGAGTTGTGCAAAAGAAGCCGCCTATTTATCGCTAACAAATTAACTAATTAAATTACCTGTGAGTTCTAACATGTTTAGACTTCTAACAGGTTTAGGCAGCATAAGCATGGCTAACCAACCAATGGCTCCAATTGAAGAGGAAGATGGCGCCATGAATTGGTGCACCAATCTGTGAATGACAACTTGAGAGTTGTACATAAGGGAAAAAGTATGTTGGTTCTACTTAGTTCACGAGAGCCAAAATAACAGTGAGAGAATAAACAAAATAGGCAGCTGTAAGCAAGCAGAATCTAAGCATTTTGTTCAGAAACTTTGCAAGAATCACAATCATACAGGTAAATGTTCCTTGCTGTAGCCACTTTAAGACATAAATTTTGCATGTTAGTTGTTGTATGATAAAATGCCATCCCTTTAACCTTCAGTACATTCACAAGTTATCAACGATGAAAAATGAATGGATGATGTATCATCACTTTAACGCTTATTGATGATTGATGGAGTATGTTACTGATGATTAATGGCATATGAACGGATGATGTATCATCACTTTAACATTTGCTGCTCTGTTTGTAGATGCGCCTTTTCTTGATCTTCACTTTGCTTGTATTAGCACATTGTATCGGTCATTGTGTGAGTTCATGGCTAGTTTGTGATACAAATTTACAAGATTGCAGTATTCAAAAATGCAGTCAATAATAATCGTCACTCTTAAAACTATAAGATGGCTCTCCTTCCTACTCATGACATAACTGTCCATTATGAGGGGGAAAAAAAAAAAAAGAAGAGAGAATCTCAAATGTTGATCAAATTGGTAACTTGTTATGTGATGCTGTCGTTAAAGTATTTAGTCAAGTCTCTAGGCACGTGAATATGTTATTGCACGTGAGGTGTGAAATTCCTGAAACAGGTGGCATGTTTGATATAATTGATGGTGGATTTTGTTAGTGAAATGTTCGATAACTTGCAAATCTAGCCATTTGTAACCCAAGCCCAATTTCAGACACCACCGGTCCAATGATTGAGTTGACGTCGGTGGCTTGGTGGTGCTGTTGCTCTTGCTCTTGCATTTGCGCGTACACTACTATCTCCGGTGGTATATTTATTATACAGTAAGCATTATTGTACCATTCCAGATATGCGGTAGACGACGGACCTCATGATAACGACGTCGTCTTTTTCAGTTTTCATTCCCTCCCATGGCTTCTAATAAAGATAAAGAAGAAGAGACTAGACTAGAGAAGAGAAGAATTTTATTCTCTCCCTAAATTTTCGTTTTCCTATTTTTTTTTTTTTTCTCACCCAACAAAGCGCAATGGATGTCTCTTTTTCATAAATATCATATTTAAGTATTTTTATTTTTTTAAAATTCAATAACTATTAATTTAATAATATATAAAATTTAATAAATTCCAAAAATTAAAATACATAAAAATGATTTTTATTGTATTTTAAATTTTTTATTATATATATATATATATATTTTTTTTTTGAAGCTATTGTACTTATTTGACCCACCCTCCTCCACCCAGGGACGCTTGCTAGGGTTTCCTTAACCGCGTCCACTTCCAATTATTATTATTTATTTACAGCCATAAATCCACGAATGAATATACATATGTATAGACGGATAGTTATAGGCATAGCAGAAAATTATGCGTGCCAAAATCAATTGTAATAAATTGGATACAAAATCATCTAAATTTGAGTCTGGAACCACAACGACAACAGCAACAGCTCTGGTTCAGCAGGAGGTGAAGGCAGTCAACCATGGCTTGAATCTTCTCTCCTCTCTATCTCTCTCTCGCCCGCGCGCGCTCGTTCGCTCGGTAAATTCACTTCTCTACTCTCTCTCTCTCAGCATCCTGTACTATTTGTTTCCATGGTTGAATATAGACTACGTATTTGATTGGTGATGTCATTTTTATTCTCCTCTTCTTTCTTCCTTTTTTTTTCTTTGATTCCAGAAAAGAAAAGCTGTGATGGTGCTTAACTTTTGAGTATCAATTGATTTGTTAGAGACTGATTGATATGAGAAACCATGTAGTAGTATTAATTTTTGTGTTTTTTTTTGGGTGGGCGCGCCGGAATTTTTTTTTTGGGGGGGGGGGGGGGTTGGTTGAGGGGAAGATAGCTGGGTGTTTCCAAAGCGATACTTCTCTCAAAAGTAGGATTTCTCTCTTGGTCTGTTTGTTTATGTTTTCCTCCTTAGATATGCTTAATTGGTTCATATATATATATTTTTTTTGGGCAGAAATAGGATTTATGCGATCATTTCAAGGCTCTGATTCTTCCAACCAGCTTCCTTTTGTTATTTTGTTAACTCTGCAGAACAGTGTTTAGTCGTCAAGTTTTACTGTTGCCCACTCTTGCGCGCGATACACTGTTAGATTCTTCCGGACGTGGTGTGGAAGTAGCATTACGCCTGCTAATAACCCCCTGTTCTTTGCTTTCTTTAGAGGTGGCAGTCTTCGGATGGAATTCTATAGCTTTCCGGAACAAGAATATGCAGATACTTATTTGGTAATCTTTCTGGCCGTCTAATGGTCAAGTTTTTCAACGTCTGTTTCTCACCTTGTCATTCTGGTCTGCAGTTTGGTGTGTTTTTTACCAATTGATAGTAGTGATTGTATTTTGGTGTCTTAGATTCAAGGTACTGAGTTAAACTCACAGTTCAGTAGCCCAAGTCTTGAAGCCATGTATAGCGAAGGAGCTCCGGAATTCATCGTTGATCAGGGCTTGTATTATCCTACTGCCACCAATTATGGATATATCTGTACAGGTTAGGATACCACCTATGTTGTATTCGAGCCAGTGATTACTTTTTTGTTGTGTTCTCTCTTCTTGTTTTATCTTCTTGCATTTATACATGTAGTCCGGTATGTATATGTATCCATATTTGTTGATGCAGCTCCTTTTTGTCCAGGATTTGAATCACCTGGTGAATGGGATGACCACCGCAGGGTTTTTGGTCTGGATGGTCAAGATATCCAATACGCCGTGAGTTCATTCGCACATACAATGTCTTCCTTTACCACTTTGTGGCTATGTGGTAGTTTCTAACCTCAGAATGTTGTTTGTCCAGGGTTCCCAAACTGAAACTTTTCCCTTTCTATATTACACACCTACCTATGGATATGGACAGTACACCTACAACCCTTACATTCCTGGGGCTATGGTGGGAGTTGATGGGCAATTTCTAGGGGCACAACAGTACTACACCATCCCATCTTATGAAAATCCTTCATCTGCACCAGCATATTTCCCCATGGTTGTTCAGTCTAGGTCAGATCTCATTGCAAATAATACAACAGACCCCTTCCTTCATACTACCACATCTACTGCTAATAGAGCTGATCGCTCAGGTCTGAAGCAAAATATTTCTTCAGCTTCTTCTGCCCTTTCCTCAAATCTTTTGGGGCCTGCTTCTAGTCAAGCTAGTTCCATGATGATGGTATCTGATGGAACTAAAACGAATGCTACAGCTAGCGTACGACCTATCACACATGCAAATGTTACATCCAACAGATTGTCCCGCCCACCTTCTAACCAAATTCTTCAGGTTGGACTTACTTTGCTGAGAAAACAGCTTGTACAAAATGTTTTTGATAAGTTTTGTCATTATCTGAGGTGCCTGAATGTGTACTCATAATTGTTTTAGCTAAGTTTAATGCAGATGTAACTACCTGCTGTTGCACTCTCTGCTTTCTTCCTCTGGCTATTTGTCTAGCCGTTCTCCTTTTGCTTTACTTGAGGTTGTGAGAGGTCGTAATTCACAAGTAAAAATTTGGTTTACCTGCCCATTTTAACATAAGTTTTCTTCTTTGCAGGGTGGAGTTAGTCAAGCCCTGGAGCATATGCCACCTGGGAAGGCTTTTCCGAGCAGTAGTCAATTTAAAGTTGCTCAACCACGTGCTAATGGGATGTCTAGCTTTGGATCTACATTGCATGTGGAGCCCACTACAGACAAAGTTCAACCCACGTTTCCTCACGGGAGAGGTCCAAATGTTACAAAAGTAAGGCCTGATGCACTTGGTGAGCAGAATCGAGGCCCTAGAGTTGACAAACCAGAAAATCAATTATCAGTTAAAGCTTACACAACCAGGGCAGGAGATGCTGATACGGAGGGAAATATTATTATTAATACCGATGGATATAATAAGGATGACTTTCCACTTGACTACACCAGTGCCAAATTTTTTGTTATTAAATCGTACAGTGAAGATGATGTGCACAAGAGTATTAAGTACAATATTTGGTCCTCCACACCCAATGGGAACAAGAAGCTAAACAGTGCTTATGAAGACGCTCAAAGATTTGCAAATGGAGATTCAGGACGCTGCCCAATTTTTCTCTTCTTTTCTGTAAGTGACACTCAGTTCTATTATTTTACGGGTGAAATCATGTTCTTTTGTCTTTTTTGATGCACTGTCACTCGATTCTTGAGGTATGGACCTTCTTGAAATGAAGCTTTGTGGCAATGGTAGCTTCCATTTTTTGTGAAGCTAACTGCTTGTCCTCTTGAAATGAAGGTAAATGCAAGTGGTCAGTTCTGTGGTGTTGCTGAGATGACTGGCCCCGTAGATTTTTACAAAGATATGGATTTTTGGCAGCAAGACAAGTGGACTGGGAGCTTCCCTGTCAAGTGGCACATAATAAAGGATGTGCCAAACCCCAACTTCAGGCACATAATATTAGAGAACAATGATTATAAACCAGTAACTAACAGTAGAGACACACAAGAGGTTGGTTAACCTTTACTTTCAGT